GATCATTGAAATTGTACTTAACGATCTTTTGGTTATCTATATTAAGAGTTTTACGTTTTTATATAGAGGATTTTTTACCGCAATGAAAGTAATAAAATAGATATGCTTACTTTGCTAGCAGCCAAAGAGAAAATAAGCTGGACAGAAGATATACGTCGTTCGTGAGCTTGATTACTCAACTATATTAATTTTTTATTTTTTTTCAGGCCATATAAAACGAAACCAAACTGATGTTAGCTAAACTGATAATTCATTCATTGAAATATTTTCATTTACAATCAGGACTTCTAAAACGAAAAGCACTAACAATTTAGCATCGACTTTTGCTTACCAGCTGTCATGATGATGCAGTTTTCTCTTGAAAAAGTCCGGAAATGTCCAAAAYTTCAAGTTAAATGAAAGACATCCATTTTGATCTTCACTAAACCTCATTTTTCAAAGTAAAACCAACCAAAAAAGCAATAAAAGTTCGACCATAGAGCTAGAGGACTTGTGGAATGAATTTTCAAGTACAAGACTAGCCCTGTGGGGGGGGGGGGGGGGGGGGGGGGGCCTTGTGGTGGGTCGTGTACACGCTCCAAAAATCCGGCTGTGCCGGAGAGTAGTAAGGTCGAAATTCGTTCTTGCCCGAGTCCTACGCAGGTAAGAACCTTTGAGATTACATCGCTGAAAATTTTCTGCAAGCGATAAATTTTCTGCACGAAAATTTCAATCATAGAAATCTTGGAGGAAGGGCCAAAAGAGTTTTAAATAAATGAATCCCCCATCGTAGGGATCATTTTGATCAAGTTTTTTGTGCAGTTCGAGGTTTAAAAGACGATGAAATCGTGGTTTAAAGTGAGTTGATTGTTCAAATATGGCGACTAAAGTTTCCTCTTTTGTCAGAGTATATATTTATTTCAATAAAGTTAGTCACCAAAAACCTATAAAGCTGACCACTGAGGATCATGGGAAACAATTCAACGAGTAAAGCTTTTGATACAAACTGCAGCTTGAGGATGCTGAGAAGAGGTGAAACTGTAACTGGTAAAAGATGTGCAAGTCCATATACAGTTATAAATCGGTGGAAACATGAAAAATGTATCTACCCATAATCCTTGT